TTATATAATTGGCTGCTCCCATGTTCGGGGCATAGATATTTACAATTGTTAGATCTTCTTGTTGGATAGGCCCTTTAAGTAGGATATAGTGTCCTTCTTCATCTCTTATTGCAGTCTTTGGTTTAAAATCTAATTTGTCTGATATAAGGTTGCCACCCCAGCTTTCTTTTGGTGTCCATTAACATGGTAAATGGTTTTCCACCCCCTCACTTTCAATCTAGGGGTGTCTTTGGGTCTAAAATGAGTCTCTTGCAGACAGCATATCGATGGGTCTTGTTTTTTAATCCAATCTGATAGCCTGTGTCTTTTGATTGGGGCATTTAGCCCATTTACATTCAGGGTAACTATTGAAAGGTATGAATTTAGTGCCATTGTATTGCCTGTAAGGTGACTGTGACTGTATATTGTCTGTGTTCCTTTCTGATCTTTGCTGCTTTTAGGCTCTCTCTTTGCTTAGAGGACCCCTTTCAATATTTCTTGTAGGGCTGGTTTCGTGTTTGCAAATTCCTTTAGTTTTTGTTTGTCCTGGAAGCTTTTTATCTTTCCTTCTATTTTCAATGACAGCCTAGCTGGATATAGTATTCTTGGCTGCATATTTTTCTTGTTTAGTGCTCTGAAGATATCATGCCAGTCCTTTTTGGCCCGCCAGGTCTCTGTGGATACGTTTGTTGCCAATCTAATGTTTCTACCATTGTAGGTTACATATCTCTTCTCCCGAGCTGCTTTCAGGATTTTCTCTTTGTCTCTGAGACTCGTAAGTTTTACTATTAGATTTCGGGGTGTTGACCTATTTTTATTGATTTTGAGAGGGGTTCTCTGTGCCTCCTGGATTTTGATGCCTGTTTCCTTCCTCACATTAGGGAAGTTCTCTGCTATTATTTGCTCCAATATACCTTCTGCCCCTCTCTCTCTTTCTTCTTCTTCTGGGATCCCAATTATTCTAATGTTGTTTCGTCTTATCGTATCGCTTATCTCTCGAATTCTGCCCTCATGATCCTGTAGTTGTTTCTCTCTCTTTTTCTCAGCCTCTTTATTTTCCATCATTTGGTCTTCTATATCACTGATTCTCTCTTCTGCCTCATTTATCCTAGCAGTTAGTGCCCCCATTTTTGATTGCACCTCATCAATAGCCTTTTTGATTTCGACTTGGTTAGATTTTAGTTCTTTTATTTCTCCAGAAAGCGTTTCTCTAATAACTTCCACGCTTTTTTCAAGCCCAGCTAGTATCTTTAAAGTCATGATTCTGAACTCTAGGTCCGACATTGTACTAATGTCCGTATTGAGTATGTCCCTGGCTGACGGTACTACCTCTTGTTCTTTTTGCTGAGGTGATTTTTTTCATCTTGTCATTTTGTCCAGAGGAGAATAGATGAATGAGAGAACAAAATGCTAACAGGTTTACAATGTCCCCAGCAAATATACTGTATACAAATCAGAAAAGACCTTCCAGAAAGTTGTCGCTTCTCTGTTCAGAAAGTTGTTGCTACTCTCCTCTTCGATCTCCTGTTGAGTTCGTAGGTGTTCAGAATGGTTTGATCCCTATTCAGCTGAATTCCTGAGACCAGACGAAATCCAGGTCTCCTACTCCTCCGCCATCTTGCTCCGCCGCCCTTGGAGACTCTTAAGACTGCTCTTTCAGACTGTGTTTGGGGTCAAGGGGATGTTTAAATGGAGAGGAGCTCCTTTTAGTTACACAATGGAGCCCGTTATAACATATCCATTTACCTCTCTGGGAGGCCACTAGTCTAAAGAGGCTCATGGAGATGGAGGGGAGAGGACTGTGCCCATACTGGGTGCATCATGTCTCCCCTCTTGACCCCTCCTAGCGCCACCGGGCAAAAGTGGACTCATTGCTTTGACAACAGTAGAGGGACTCTAGATATTTCCAGAAGTAACTCTGGCTCCAGGCACACAGAAAGGAAAAGTCTCCCTGAGCTGGTTTCCTGGAAGCATGGGGGGCAACTCATCGTTGTGCTCTTCAGGATTCCAGCCACCTTCTTCCAAATGAAGGGACACAGGTTCCAGGTGCTGTAAGGCTCATCTCCTGCCCTGGAGGGCAGGAAACCGAAACTTGGGAGCAGATTCTGTCTCCCATCCATCTCCGGTTTCCCATGCTTACTCCAGCTTTTTCCTTCTTGGATGGTGGAAACTCCTCCAGATGTCAAAGCTTGTTGTGAATAAAGCTGTAAAAGGGAGGTCATGTATCCAAATCAAAGTATGTGTATTTCTTCCTGGATTGAAAGTGACTACAGTCACTGGGATGGGAAATCATCATGAAACCTTAATACCCAACTGAGAAAAAAAGGGCCAGATTGAGTTTGGGGGATCAAATGTGTAAGTGGGGGAAGTCAGGTCATAGAAGCAAAAATCACCTTCCAGCGACTGCAGACAAGTCAGGGAAGCTGTGACTGATGTTAATGACCTTGTTTTGAACTAAAGTCACATGCAATGTTTTCACCATATATTTTTCTTTTATTTTTTAACTCACTGCTCCAAGTTTTGCCATTAAGTAAATAAGTATTGCTCCAAAACCCTCTGTCATCTGCTAATGGGTAATCCTTCTTTCACGTGATCTCATACTCCACATCTCCAAGAACATGCGAGAAGGATTGAAGAGGATGGGGGGACTCTGGGTTCCAGGGCTGGGAGTGTAGCAGGAACAGATATAGTGGAGGAAAACCCGGCAGGCACCTACCACCCTTGGAAGCCAGCCCATTTCTTCTGAGCCCACAACCAAGCCAATGTACCTGCTGGTGGTGGGGCAGCCAAGCAGGCAGCAGGCTTTCATTGTGGGTTTCACCTCTGCCCCAACCCCAGAGTGGCTAAGAGCAGCCTCTGAAATTCACCAATCCACTGTTTCTCAAAAGTAGAAATCCTTGACCTCTGGGGGAAAACATAGCTGTTCCTTGAAAAAAGAAGTTTTAGCTTAGTCATCCACACTGCACAAAGAAAATGAAACTCACGCTTAAAACAAGGGGTAACAAAGTATTCAACAATCACCAGACAGATTTGTTTATGTATTTCTTACTGTTTATGCTTTGCTTAATCCCTTCTGAGGACAAAGAGCCACTTTTTTTTTTTTAATTTATTTATTTGACAGAGAGAGACACAGTGAGAGAGGGAACACAGGCAGGGGGAGCCGGAGAGGGAGAAGCAAGCCTCCTGCTGAGCAGGGAGCCCAATGTGGGGCTCCATCCCAGAACCCTGGGATCATGACCTGAGCCAATGGCAGACGCTTAACGACTGAGCCACCCAGGCGTCCCCAAAGAGCCACTTTCTTGCCTGTTCCTTGTGCCTCAGTGGCACAGGAAAAAAATCTTAAAAAACAGCATCTTACTCCCTGAATTATCAGTTTCTTCCCTGACCTAGATTTCCCGGGTGAAGCCTGGATACTGGAAAGTAGTGAAGCCTGTCACCATGACAAGTTTGCACTTTATTCTGCAGTTAACCAGGGATGTTGAAGGTGTGTGCCTGCTTTTTTCAACAGGCATGTCAGGGTCCCTGCAGCAATACCTTTCAAATGCTCCGCCAGACAGGAATAATGGGAAGCTAGGAGACCATAAATGTTATTCCCAGAGTCCAGATGAGAGATACACCATAATCTTAAACATATAGACCAGTGTGGTCTAATAGATATGTAGTGTGAGCCACATGTGTAATTTTTAATATCCCAGTGGCCGTATTGAAAAAAAGGAAAAAGAGTGGTGCCTGGGTGGCTCAGTGGGTTAAGGGTCTGCCTTCCACTCTCATGATCCCAGGGTCCTGGGATCCAGTCCCATGTTGGGCTCTCTGTTCAGCGGGGACTGCTTCTCCCTCTTACTGTCCCTCTGTTCTCGCTCTCTCTCAAATAAATAAATAAAATCTTAAAAAAAAAGGAAAAGGAAATATGTAAAATTAATTTTAATAATATATTTCACCAAATATATCCAAAACATCATTTCAACATGTAATAACAATTATTAATAAGTTATTTTACCATATTGCTGTAAATCTTAGAAATGGGGGTGCCTGGCTGGCTCAGTTGGTTAAGCCTGGGACTCTTGATTTCCACGGAGGTCATGATCTCCGGTGATGAGATAGAGCCCTGAGCCCCCGCGGAAGATTCTCCCCTCTGCACCAATTGCCGGCCTTCCTCCCCTCACTTGTCCGCGCACTCTCTCGCTCTTAAAAAAAAAAAAAAGAGAGAGAGAGAAAGAAAAAAGAAATGCGGTGTATGGATAACTTAACAGCACATGTCAATTCCTTCACTAAATTTTAAGCGCTCAAAGGGAAATGTGGGTCTGCCAAAACAATAAAGTTGTTTAACAGAAAAATATTCCATAGTGCTTCAATTTTTAATACAAATTAACTACAATTAATTACAATTTAAAATTCTGGTCGTCAGGCACACGAGCCACATCTGAAGTTTAACAGGCACAGATGGCTACGGCAGAGCAAGTCTGGACTGCAAACACGTTCACAGCTTGCACCAGACCTTGGAAACCGCGGGTCCTGCAGTTCTGGACATGTTCACCAGGTGGCACTAAAGCTAACACCCTCACCAGCTCGAGACAGGCGCCCAACCCCGGAAGCGAAATCCCAAGGTTGCACGCCGTTTCCTCCGGCTTTCTCCACCTCCGGATACACCCTACCTGATCTGGGGTCGAAAAGCGTGCAGCCGGGCAGGATGGGCAGGAGAGCAGAGCCGCGGGGTCTGCAGAGCGAGTGAAGAGCTGTTAGCAGGTCCCGGTGTGCCACGCGGAGCCACGCGGGGGCGGTGGGCGCGCAGACCCGGCGTCCGACCGCGCGGACCGCAGAGCCCCAGCCTGAGAGCGCGTCGCCTTCTCCCGCGAGGTCGCCAGCGCTGGGCCCGAGCTTCCACCAACGGCACCCAGAGCCTGGCGTCCTCTCCAATGTTTCAGAAGTCACGCCCGGCGCTGCTGCAGCCTCAAGATGTCGGAGACAGGGTGGAGACGCTTATGGTAAACTGCGGGGAAGGGACACAGGGGTTCGGAAACCGCCGGCTCGTGGAGGGAAATTCTCGGGAGGTAGCCAAGGGTCAGCGGCTCTCTGGGAACCTTTTCCGCTCTCTGGGTGTGCGCAGAACAGGTGGGGATGTGGCGCGAGAGGGATGGATTGATCAAGGGGATTGAAAAGGGAAGGGCGAGGGAGGAGAGGAGTTGCAGCCCCCTTGGGACAGACAAGCGACGGTCTCGCTGCTGCTTTGGCGTCCGGGTAGAGTGGGCGGAATTGCCGGGACCTTGGGAGTGCGAGGGAGTGTGCCGGTGCGAACTGAAGAACGTGCGGGCGCTACCGGACGTTGCTTTGAGTTGGATGCCTAGGGCGACAGAGGTGGAAGGACGCTCGGGCAGGTATTTGGACCATCGCAAGGCTCGGTAGTCGCGCCAAACCTGAGAAGCGGTGGGTGCCCGAGGGAGGTGAGTTAGGACCGCACAGGGTCCCCGGGCGGGGAGGGAGGACACCCTCTGGGCCTCCACCTCCTAGCCGGCGAGGAACTGGTGGGGCCGGTGATGCCGCGAGGCCACACCCCTGAGTCTGGATTGGCTGCCGCGGTCGTGCCGCCGGGCCTCCATTGGTGGAGGCGGAGGCGGGGCTGGACAGGCGGGCCCGGAGGACGGTCTGGCTGAGTAGCCGCTGGCGGTGGGTGGAGGCGCGAAACGCAGGATTAAGCCGCGAGCGCTGAGTCGCCGCCACGTTTGCTCCGAGGTCCCGTCTGTCGGCGCCGGCGGGCGGGGTATGGGGTTGTTTTTTTAATCGTTAAAAAAGGTAGCGGCTGCGGCTCCACTTTACATCTTTGAAAACGTGCTTAATCTGTTTCTCTTTCTGGGTCCTCCCGCTCTGGCCTGGAGACTTGTTTGGATTAAGAATTGCTTGTGGAACCTGTTTGCTAACTACTTAAGTACTATTTACTGCCTTTGTATACTGTATGTTATTTGGTTGTTTTTGCTGTCCTCCCTCAAAAAACCGAATTGTTAGTCATCGTTTTTACCTTAAATAACTTTAGGCTATTTTCATCCCTGGGGGCCTCTGCTTAGATTGCTGCTGTGGCAAAGCCCCTAAGCCCCCATTGGCATTCAGTGCTCCTCCTCAGTACTTAGAAAAAAAATCAAACATGCCTTCAAAGGATGCTCCATGTGACAACATCTTAAAACTATTCAAAATGAAAAGTGTAAATTCTGTTTTTTTTGACTCTTGGGCACCTACTGTGCACCAGGCTCCGTGGTCAGTGCTGGAGGTACCATCGTGAAAAGGACAGGTAGTGGCCTCTTCTGTACTGGATCCTAAGGGAGATGGGCTCAGATGCAGTGGAAGTACTGAGGAGGAGTACTGAATGCCAATGGGGGGATTAGGGGCTTTGCGGCAGCAGAGGAGATCTAAGCAGAGGCCCCCTAGGGATGAATCAGACATGGGAGGAGCCAGGATGGGAAGGCAGAGAATTCCTGATGGTTGCACTGAGTTAGAGGTAGGAGGCTGAGAACACAGGCTGAAAAAGTAACAAGGGGCCACATGATTCAGGAAGGACCTTGTAAGCCTAGCCGGTGGCCTCAAACCCTGTGACGTAGGACACGTTCGTGACCTCTGTGAGCTCCATTTCTTTCTTTCTTTTTTTAAAGATTTTACCCATTTATTTGACAGAGAGAGACACAGCGAGAGAGGGAACACAAGCAGGGGGAGTGGGAGAGGGAGAAGCAGGCTTCCCGCCCGAGCAGGGAGCCTGTTGTGGGGCTCCATTCCAGGACCCCCGGATCACAACCCCAGCCGAAGGCAGACGTTTAAAGACTGAGCCACCCAGGCGCCCCTGTGAGCTCCAATATCACCTGTAAAATGGGTTTAAATACCTAGCTTTTAAGAGTGTTGTGAGATCTCAAGGAGGTGTACATAGATGCCTTATCCAATGCTGCTCCGGGAGCTCGGGAGGGTGGGTTAGTAGGGTTGAGGCTGGAGACTGCCAAGGAGGTCACTGGAATAGATCGGTGTGGGCTGGCTCTGGCAACACTGAGGGGTCATCAGCAGGACTGGGTCATGAAGCCGCAGGTACAGTGAGGATTTTTATGTGTCTCCCAAACTTGCCGCAGGAGTATCTTGTGGACTGGAGTAGAGGCAGGAGTGTGGTGAAGTATTGACTGGGTTTCCATTTTGGAGTGAGTCGGAGCTGCCTGGGGGCCTCTCAGGAAGGGGGTTGCTGGGCGTTACGGGCGCGGGCGCGGTGCCCTGTGGTGTGGGTGAGGTGGCCTGAGGGGCTGTGGCCGGGCGGGCGGGCGGAGATAAGAAGAGCAAGGTCTGAGGCTGAGGGAAAGGAGCAGCCTGAAAAGGAGCCCCAAACCAGCTGTTTGAAATGCACGGGAGCAGCCAAGTAAGAGAAGGCCTAGGGTGGGAAAGGGCTCCTGGGATGGGCAGGTCTTTGGTGAGCAGGAGAGGCAGCTTTAGCTGGATGGCAAGTGGTGGGGGCTGAGGGGTGACTAGCCCAGAGGGAGTGGAGGTGATGTGGCTTGGGGCTGGAAAGACAGGGGCTTTGCCCAAAATACCAATGGAAGGATGAGACCTAGAAGCACAGACTCACGGGAATAGGGCTTAGCATTAGCCACTCCCCACCCCCTTGGGGGACAGGGAATGGTATGCTGACAGACTGGCGAGGCAGACACATTTTGCTTGGTTGGATGTGTTGTGTTACCACTTTTGTCACCCCTGGATACTTGACAAGCCATTTGAACAGAGTTGTGACCTCCGGTATTACGTGAATTTTTTTATCTTTTAAGTGATTCCAGTTCTACTTTGAAACTTGCTCATTTGGTAGAAATGTGGAGTGATCCCTGTGAAACAAAAAAACCCACAGGTTACAAACATTTTAGTTCTGGGTTGGTGGCTATATGGGTATAACCAGCAACTTCATCTTCCAAGTGTCTTAGGACAACAGTTGTCCATGCATTCAAGAATAATAGTCCGAGTACCATTTAATGAGGAGAGATCTTTTTGGATGGAGTTTGCCAAGCCGCTTGTTTGGAGAAGAGCACTTTTCTTTCCTGGTTGGATTTTTAAATGTGCCTTTTCACAACCATTTGTGATCGAGTGGATTCTGAGGCAAGCCGTGAGGCCTCTAGCGTGGTGGGCTCAAGGAAGTACATTTAGTCTCTGCCCTTCCAGGTGGTGCCTCCAGATTAGCCAGGGTGTGCAACTGGCCTGGTTTAAGGGAGAGCCAGCAGACCCAGGGGGAAGAGGTGACTGCTGGTCTACCACACCATCTGCGATCTGCTTACGTCCCAGTGAGAGGCGTGGTTATAGGAGAAAGGGAAAGCTTTTAAATTAAGGAAATTCAGGGGCGTCTGGGTGGCTCAGATGGTTAAGCGTCTGCCTTTCGGCTCAGGTCATGATCCCAGCGTCCTGGGATCGAGCCCCACATCGGGCTCCTGGCTCAGCGGGTAACCTGCTTCTCCCTGCTCATGCTCTCTCTCAATCTATCTCTGTGTCTCAAATGAATAAAATCTTTTAAAAAAAAGTGTTAAAAAAAATTAAGGAAATTCATAGGTTTCACAGGGAGTGGTCCATGTTTTACATTGAACCTGAGCTTATGGTTTCATTTCCTATGTCTCGCTCCTGTAAATATCTACAGGTCCCATAACCAAGAGAGCCTAACAACCAACAGTTCAGACACTAGGTTCAGTTGATTTTGCTTCTGTGAAGATAAGGAGATGGCCAATAACTTTTAGCGTCAGGACAGAGAGGGAGGTGTAGTTGGCAGCCTAATTCACAGGTGGACATAGACATGCTGCTCAGGAGGATCCTCATTGCCCATTCTCAATCCTAACGCCAGAGAGATCCCCTCCAGCTGGGTATTATGTTCTCCACACGGCATTCCAGTGCTGTTAATTCCTGGGCTCACTTTTCCCTTCTCTGAAGTGGGAAGATAGATAATACAGGGCACCAGCAGGTGGTTTTCTAAGCCACCCATACAGGGGAAATGACTGGTCTCGGTGTGTAGAAAGCTGAGGCCCGCGGCCGAGAGTTGCTGACTCAGTGTTGTCTTGTCCTGAAGTTGCATCCGGTGATCAAGGCTTTCCTGTGTGGCTCCATCAGTGGGACCTGCTCCACCCTCCTTTTCCAACCCCTGGATCTCCTCAAAACGCGTCTGCAGACTCTTCAGCCCTCAGCCCATGGGTAAGGCCCACTGCCCCCCGTTTCTTTGAGGAACCGGTTTCAACAACTCTCAGACACAGGAGCATCTCAACTGTGTTAAGTCAACTGCTGTTCTATTGGATGCTTCAAGAGAAACACTGGCCATGCCCAACTTCTTTGACATTTCCTGTTAATGATTCTCTGGGGGCACCTTCCTGGGATCTGCTCTGATGACATTTGCATTTTATTGCGCTAGCCTATAATGTCATACTGTACTGTCTGGTACGAGTAGCATGGGTGATTTTCTGGAAATAACGTGTGTATTAAGTGTCTCTTTTATGCCCCACATTGGGCTCAGCGCTGTGGGAAGTATACCAAATGCATATAACATGAGAGGTAATCGATTGCTTGTGGTGTGAATCAACAGATAAAACACGTATGTACCAAATCATGAACATATGGGAACTCAGTTATTCCAAGATGTGTTGTAGAGATTCTTGAGTGCTCTTAGGGAAGAAGTCATACAAAGAAGTCTTTGGATGGGAAGTTCTTTTATGAGGATGGGGTCTGAGGGATTTTTTTTTTTCCTTCCCTGCCTCCATTTTGTCTGCTTTCAGATCCGGACGCATTGGGATGCTGGCTCTGCTCTTGAAGGTGGTTCGCACGGAGAGTATTCTGGGCCTTTGGAAAGGCATGTCCCCTGTAAGCTGCCTTTTGGGTCTTCTCTTGCACCCTCTGCTGCCATAGCTAGCCCTTTCTCACGCACCTCACATACCCCCTCTTGTAAGGATAGGTGAGTGCCGGAAGCAGTGGGACGACTTAACGGTCTCCCTGTCTCATGCTACTGCTCACTCCTGTTGGAGGGCTCGGGGAAATAGCTTTATGCCCTAGATGCAGCTTGTTGGAGCAGTAGCAAGTCTAGAGCAGACGCAGCTGGTGCCCCCAGCTGCCGGCGTATCCTTGCACTTGCCCTCCGATGCAAGCAGGCCACACCTGCAGCTCTTCACCTGCAAGCTTTTTCTGGCCCTAGGAACTCAATTTGCTGGGAGTGCCAGGGCATGAATGCTCACCCCAGCCGAATGGAAGATGACAGTTGATGTTTCCAAACCTCACTCACCCTCCTCAGCTGGAGGGCCAACTCTGAGGTGTGCCCTACACCGATTCCCAGAGTTCCCCCCAAAGGGATTCCGTTATCTGGGGCAGTAATGAGTTAGGTAGCCTCCCCTTCATGGGCTGCCTTCTCTCCTCACTTCCCCGTTCTCTTATTGGCGTTCCCTCCACACCTTCAATCAGCTACTTGGATGCAAATCTCCGTCTTTGGAAAACCCAGCTAAGACAGTATCTTAGTGTCGGTCTGTGATTTCTTTCCTCCCTCTGACTTGTTCTGTAGTCCATTGTGAGGTGTGTCCCTGGCATTGGCATCTACTTCGGCACTCTCTACTCCTTGAAGCAGTACTTCCTGCGAGGCCACCCCCCCACGGCCCTGGAGTCGGTCATCCTGGGAGTGGGCTCTCGTTCGGTTGCAGGGGTCTGCATGTCACCCATCACTGTGATCAAGACACGTTACGAGGTGAGTCCGACTGCTTTTGGCCTTCAGGGTGGGTAAACAGAGGCACTGGGCTTTTGTCAGGTGGCCACCGATGTCAACTCCGGATTTAGAATCCAAAATAGAGGCCGCTGTGGTCAGAGAATGCAAGCCACGTGGGAACCAGAGCCCGTGGTGCCTGGTAATGCCACGTACCCCGAAGTCAGGTGGGTTCGTTGCTCGAACCCAGGGTCGCCACGCCAGCCACTGGTTCTGTGCTTCTTTGCAGAGTGGGAGGTACGGGTATGAGAGCATCTATGCAGCCCTGAGGAGCATCTATCGCAGCGAGGGGCATCGGGGACTCTTCAGCGGCCTGACGGCAACACTCCTTCGTGACGCACCCTTTTCTGGAATTTACCTGATGTTCTACAACCAGACCAAAAACATCATGACCCATGGTATGGACGAAAGAAGGTGTGGTGGGGAAGAGCTCTCTCCGAGACGTCATATCCTCACCACTTTCTCTGCGATCGCAGATTGTTTATTGATCTTAGCAGAGTTTTAGGAATGGAACCATGTTGGCCTCGTGTCAAGCATCAGGCCGGGTGCTAGGACACAGTGGTGGTCGTGACAGACTTGGCCCCTGCCCGTTGGAGTTTATAGTCTATTAATGGCACTGTATTGGTAGTACTGTAATTCTTGAGTGGGGTGGGGGAGGTATAAAGCATTTTTTGCAATAATACATCGCAGATATGCCTGATTCTTTAGGTTGCTGGGTCCCGCCCTAGGGCCTCCTAAAATCAGAAACTTTGGGGGAAGACCTGGGAGTCTGTATTTCTCAAGAAGCACTTGATCTGATTCTTATCAGACAAGTTTGATGAGGTTAGGGAGGTTAGCACCTCCCCTTGCCGTGTTCCCAGTTAAAATGGTTTTGAGCCCTCTATTTGGGTGGAGAGCAAGGTGTCAGACCGCAGGCGTTCTGGCAGACCCACACTGCCAGGAAGCTCAAGTTGGCATGACAGGGGCACAATCAGTGGGCTGTGAACATCTACCCGAGCAGAGCCAGATTCCGATAGAAACACATCCTGT